GCTCCTCTTAGCTAGAAGGCGTTTCCGAGCCTCTTCAAGCTCGTACTTTTCAATGGCCTTCTTCCTTTCCGCTTTAGAAGCGGTTTTCCACAGTCAGGTGGTTTCGACGAACCTTTGTACTTCCTTGCCTTGTAACCTCCGGCGTCATAGTACGATGAATCGGTTTTGGGAATTAAGGTTTTTTCATCCGTGACAGGATCTATAACCTCAAGCAACGACAGGAGCATCGTCGACAAGCGCTTCGGGAAGTATAGGTGGTTCATCTGGTTCATACTCTTGATCAACAGCATGTTTCAAAACCTCCTGATCAACAAGTTCTTCGATATTCGCAGCTCTAACATCATCGATCGATGGTGGATTGCTTGAAATGGTGATGCCCGGTACAACCCTTCTCTAATCATGTTGTACCTGCCTTTACACGCAAAGTGTAACCCGATGTTGGGAACAGCGATCTGATGGACTCTCAATGGCTGGATCTCTGCACTGAAGTCTGACTCCATCACATCCTTCAACGGGAGGACCATGAACTCCTTTCTCCACACGAAGTTGGACTGAACGGCATACCCCAAAAAGATTCCAGGGTTTGACGTCGGCTCGAACCTGAGAGAGGATTTGGCCTTGCTCTTGGGGCCGATCCAGTAGTCAATCCTCAACCCAAAGGGAACCAAAGGGCCTTTAAACTTCAATATTGATGGTGAAGACCAGCTTGTTCCAGGTTTACTCTTGTCCCGTCGATAACGGACCTAATAGACCTTTCAGCCATGGCGTTTGTCTTGGAAACATATCCAAAGCTGGTTTGATGCCTCCACCCCAATCTGTCAGCAGTAGCGATGAGTTCTGGTGAGTTGTCAGAGTAAAACACTCCAACCTCATCAGTGGATCGAATGAAATGTTTGAAGGCTGCGATGCATTCACGCGTCGATCGTCGTGCGGCCGGGTAGACATACCTGAAGTCGGTAGCTACATCCTTCACGACCAAAGCAACGCGTGCCCCATCTATATCCATTTCCTCATCGTCACGGATAACCAGATGGTCGGCAGTCAAATGTTGTCCAAATTGATCCGCTTCGACTTGAGTGGATCCGCCCTACCTTTCATCCACTGGTTCAGGCTCCTCTTCGCCAGGATCCTCACCAATCAATTTCTCATCGTCGTCGTAGACTTCGATCGCTCTTCAGCCGGTGAAGCGGGCAGAGGAATCATGGGTCGTGGTCCCCCCGACCGTTGGCTTGTACCATAGGGTTGACCTATGGCGGACATCGCAACACCAGTTGTTGATGGCAGATATGGAACATAATCATCTACTTCAAGTTTAACCTTTGTCCCATCTGGTTTCTTGAAGTATGGCCTGCTATAAGCGGGCCAGTGGAAGCTCCATCCGGCATCGATGCAGTGTTGTCCCACAGACACGACAGCTGGACTGTCATCGAAAGGACGTACGGATTGATGTCATCACCCAAAATGGGAACATTGACTCTGGCTTGATCGGTTGCTTGGAAAACTCCGTTGGCAGTAAGAAGACTCACCGGAATGGGAGACTGTGACACCTCACCTGTATGAAGCATGTGCCTAGACACAAGATCGTGAGCACTACCAGTGTCAGCTATCCATGCGATCTCAGTGGCAGGCACTGACGGCGACGACCTCTTACCAAAACACTTTACACAACCAATGTCAGAGTTGCATAGGTACGAACATTCTGCCGGCAAGGACAAAAGCTCATTCCTGACAGCGTTCTGCAGATGCGAGGCCGCAATGGAAGCATCTTCAGTGGCGACTCGAACGGCTTCAACATATTCAGGGCGATCTGGTGTGAAACTTCTCCCTTTCTTCTTACTTCGGGGTTGAACAGATCTCCAACTGGAAGAAGACTCAACAGCATGACTAAAAACATTCGGTTGATCGTCAAAACGGACTTGCTGTCTAACAAAACAATGTTTTCTGTGTTGTCAAAATCGGTGCACATAGCGTTTGACGCGGAAAGGACCGGCATGGCCACGCTTCCCAGCGGGCGTGTGATGAGGACGGAGGATCCCTGAGAGACCACTGCGGCCATGACCACAGCGCGTAGGAGGCAGACCGCCGCCGGCGCATTAGAAGAAGAAGACTTTCCACCTTTTCTCCGCTGGCTCTCAGAGCCAGTTGAGTTGTCGGAGCCTGACGACCCTCGCGAACTGCTTCGCTTGCGAGGTTTCTTCTCTTTCTTCTTCTTCTTCTTCTTCTTCTTCTTCTTCTTCTTCTTCTTTCTGTCCTCTTTCTTTGCGGGGGCAGTTTTCTCAGGGTGTTGGAATGCGCAATCTTTCCCTCGATGACAATGTCCTGCTTTCCAGAATTTGCAAGTCTCCTTCCGAGATCCTGGAGTCAGCGACCTTGCTCGAGACTGACTGCGATCCTTACCCTTTCCCTTTCGTTTGCTTTTCTCGCGGCCCTTTTCGTGCAAGGAAATGAAGATCCGCGCTTGCATTTTCCAGTCTTTTGGTAATCAAAGCACGCACCTTTCTTATCCTCTGGCGCTGGCACAACAACATCTTTGGCGCCGAGGGAGCGTTTGGTGGCATCCCTCATCTTTTCCAGCCTCTTTCTCTCGAGATATGCCCGAGCCGCGGTGATGAGAAAATCATAGGATCTCTCTCTGCTGCCTTCCGCAGCGCGGTCGTACAGGGCAAGATCATGCTCGAGAGGCTTGAAGCGCTTCACTGCTAAGTGAAAATACGCCTCCAGGACATTGTTTTCGGGCTCCTTCTTCATGCCCGCTAACACACTGTCCCATTGGTTGATGAATCCTTTCAGATCATCATTCACTATTTTGACCGACATGAGGTCTTCGAGACCGTAAATGGCGCCGTGCCGGATGCTTGTAGCGAAGTACTCGCGAAATCGGAGAAGCAAATGTCTCCCTTTCACAGGCTTCTTTTCGCGAGCACGCAACTCCTTGAAGGTTGCGATTTGACGACCGAGGTCCCCCTCAGCGCAATTCGTGAGGCTTGCAAGAAGCTTCGCGTCGAGGGTGGCAAAGCCCTCTGAATCATCAAGTGCCTCAATGGTTTGGGATTCATTGTACACTTTCCCAACCCAAGTTCTTGCATCATCTGGCTTGGCCGAAGCGGCTGCTATATTGTCCCTCACCTTAATCTTCCAGTCTCTGTACTTTTCAGGTGTGGGGAATTTGGGAATGAGAACCTTGTCGGCCTCTTCGGCCTTGTTCTCACGGTCCCTGTCTTTTGACTTTTTCTGCTGCTTCTTCAGCTCCTTCCTGATGATGCGTGCGAGACGCGACGACTCAGAGCTTGAGCCATTGGAATCATCATCTCCACTTGACGAACTGGATGAAGACGGAGATGGGGAAGGAGAGCGCTTCTTTCTGCGTTCTCGGGAACGGCCTCTCTTTGGGCTCTTGTCCTTCTTCTTCCCCTTTATCTTTTTCTTTTTGTCCTTTCCGGACCTGCTTTCATTTTCTTCATCCGCATCTGATGGATGTGGATCGTCATCGCCCGTGTTCCAGGGCTTCTCCAAATGAGCACGAAGACTCGCAGGAGGCAAAGCTGGGGACCCTTGAGATCCAAGTGGCTGTACTGACGGCACAGGCACTCGGTTCCCCGAGGCGTTGTCGAACCTTTCTCTTAGCTCTTTGATGATCCGACTCTGCTCGGCAAGTTCTGACCGGAGGGCATCCTCTCTTTGCCTAGCCGATGCGCGTTCACTCTCAATGACGGCATGTCTTTCGAGTGAAATCCGATCTAAATAAGCCCTTTGTTCATGAAGTTGTTGATTCTGATGGGCTTGATTCATGTCACTTAGTCGTTGGTTGGCAATAGCCTCATGCTGTTCCCTAGCCTCCTCAATGACCGCCCTAGCTTGGTTGGCCACGACATCCCGATATTGCCTAGCTTCATCGACGAATTGCTGTGATTGCTCTGCCAAAATGGCCTGATGCCTCAGTTCAGCAATTTGAGCTACCTGAGCCGAACGATCTTCGTTGACAAAAAGCGCTTGTTGATGAATCTGCCTAGCGTCAACGTTTTGAACATTCAACACTGGTGATGGCTCAACATGCGTTGGCGACGGCACGACGACAGTGGACAACAGGTCCCCCTGTGCACTGAACGATGGAGGCTCAATAGGCCTAAGCATGCCCAGCGGAACAACAAGAAGATCAAGTGCCGGCGAACTAGGTCGCCGGTGACGACGGCACATACCCGGATCGGGAACGGTCCTCTCGGGAACATCCATCAGCCATGGTTCCAAGGCAGTGCACTACCTACGGTGGAAGGAACCCTAGCTAGTCAAGCACGTACCGCACTTATGGCGATACGGCTGATAACCTGTAGTTACAGGTAAACGGCCGACACTAACCACCAACCGCACCTGTTTTCCTTGAGCCAAAGTCAGTGGTAATTAGACATGTATATAGTACACCACTGTGAAACAACATCGACGAAACACCATTGAACAAGTACAGTAATTCAGAGTTTATTTGACGGACACTAGTCACAATGATTCAAAAACACTGGTACGAGTATGTGCAATGGCGTAGCCCCCAAATTCACTGCTATAGGGCTTGTGCCACATCACACAACACCCCAAAAAAATCAAGCTTGAGCCAGAGCAAACACGACTTCTGGTATCCCCCGAAAATCGACCGCTTCGCCCGAAGCGACCAAAATCATGGCCAACTTGTTCAAAGCAATTGCCCCGAGTGGGAGAAGAATCTTAAGCAATAGCGAGGTACAGCATCGCGGGATGGACTATTGCAGTGTGCATGCCGACCCTGATGCCCAAAGTAGTCACTTGGACGTCGCCCCTGAACACACAAGATCTGCGCTTCACTGCCCCCTTCAAGTTACTAGTTAGAAAGAAAGTGTGGGAGAAAGTAAAGAAACAAAAGCCAGTATCCAGTTTTACTGCTCCAGTTCTATCAAATTCTATCACGAGCGTGAAAGCGCGGGGTGGGCAGTGGGGAGGCTGTCAGGCTGTCACAAGTTGCAAAATAAGCTACCTGCTTCACAAGTTTGCTCTCCAATCCAAGCAGGACGGCCTTGGCAACATGCAATCACTGTGAGTTCCACGATTACACACACTGTGCGCACCGTTGTGCCAGGTGCGGCGCTGGTACCTTTCCCCCACTTCGGCTTACCGCTGCCTCTGCACACCGCACAGGAAGCATTGTAGTTGTCCCATCCCTGTAGGATCTTTACTGAGTGCTATCTGATTCCACCCTCATCCTAGGCTTCATGTAGAGCCCGTGGAGCAATTTCCGCCCGAGCATGCTGCACCATGATTTCTTTCTCCTTGACGACTGTATGGGAGTTGTTCAATCACTACATATATATATATACTTTCTGTATATATTCCGTTGATATACTATGTACGGGAACATAAGCCTCAGTTAGAATTCATGAGTCTTCTTGGGAAGCCTCGAGCTCTTTCGCCTTCCTCACACGCGCCTGCGGCGAGATATTTCATTTGGCCCAGCCCAGTCAAGGAAAACACCAGCACAGGATTCAATTGCACGAAACAGGCACTGTGAAGATTGTAAGGCACCAGGAGAGCTTATTAAAGGCAAAAAGCACAAGAGGTTCATCATCACGTCAGCACCATCTGTCAACAGAACAGATTCCTAGTCGCAGTGTGTAAATCTATATGTAAGTATATATATATATATATAAGTTAAGGGCATCCCTGCAGCTAACGCAGGGTAGAACAAGTCATTTGGCCTGGATCACTGCAATGGGGTTCTGAACACTGGACATTGTGCCGGCGCTGATGACCTGAAAAAAAGGACAAACAAAGGTCACAAAGCAAGGACACTGTGCCTTGCCCTACATCACATCATCCCAGGTCCGGTGCCCGTCGCTGATCCAAGCCACTCATGCCCCGAAGAACCTGAGAAAACGCCCGTCGACCCAACGCGGCTTCCGCAGCGTTCTGGCCACAGTGCCTTCTCGGCATCATCGGGCAGCCATCGCCTGTTCTGGCCAACGAAGGCCTGAAGTAAATAGCAAAGACAGGGCACATCACATCGATACAGTCTACCGATGTCTACCGTAGTATGCCAAACACTTTAGAGGAAGAGTACCGGAAGAGTCCCCGCAGTCCACGCCTCCAGTTCTTCTGCTGATGCTGGTTTCACCTAAACTCCAAGCCAGCTCAAGATGTGATGATGAGCGACGATGCTATCGGTTTCTAATGATTCCGTCAACTCACCTCCACTTCCATGATGGCCCTGGCCCCTGCCAGCCTGACCAGGAAAACTGCCACTCGACTAGCACATGTCGTCGAAGCACGGATGCACTCTGTTGCATGCTTAATTTGCCTCAGGCCCACACCAGCTTCACAGGCAAGCGCAACAAAAGGCTTCATGAAGCACGGAAACACATGTGGTCTGGAAAGATGCCCGCGAAAAAATAACGCCTTCTTGATGCTAGATCCGTGCGTGCACATATCAATGAGCGCTGTGTTACCGAAGGTGTTGAGGCGTTAACATGAAAGTAGAGCGTTCATTGCTATATAGCTTTGGCTAGAGGGAGGGCATGTTCGTCTGGGAAAACATTGAAGATGGTCTTCACATATCACCTATGCCTGACTATATGTCTCATTGTCGTATCATTTGCATCACCACGTCCATGAAAGGCAAACTCTCAACCGCCTATGTTCAAAAATATATTTCATGACTGCGTCATGTGCATCAACCAGTTGCAATTCTATAGTTTGTTTTCTGGTATGTGGCATATGCATCAGCTGGTTGCACGTGTGTAGTTTTTTGTACAAAATGCCAGCCAATTAGTTTAACTTGGACCCCCTGAAAATGTACAATTTCAAGGGTTGCAAAAAGTAGATCCAACAATGCTTGCAAACAATCGGCAAGAGAGTCCAACAAATGGCGCGGCATAATTAAAGAAATTGTAAGAGGATCCAAAAATAGGGTGATTACAAACACTTCTCTCTGTATTGTTCATCCATTTCATGCTGCGTTCATTTCTAAGCTTTGCGGCCATGCACATTGTATAGTGTTTTGCACATGTATGATTACATGATCACTCTATTTTTCGACCCCCTTGAACCGTACATGTTTTAAGGGTGTCGAAAGTATATTCATTTGCAAGCATTGTTGGGTATCCCTGAAAATGTACAATTTCAAGGGGCGAAAAATATATCCAACGATGCTTGCACGTTGCAAGGTCTTTATTTTCTTCATCCACTTCATGCTGCGTTCATCTCTAAGCCTTGCCTCGGTCATGCACATTGTATAGTTTATTGTACATAATCACTATTATGGGACCCCCTTGAAATTGTACAATTTCAAGGGGGTCAAAAAATAGATCCAACAATGCTTGCAAAATGCAAGTAAGACATATATAACTAAACAATGCATCAAAGTGATCATCAAAGGGTCCAAAAATAGAGTGATTGTAGATACGTGCTTCTTTTACCCTCCCTCTGAGTCTGAGAGCCACTGGTGCGGGTGGTTGTTGTCGCGAAGCGACCTGAATATGAGTTGTGATGTGTGTGATGTGTGTGATGTCTCCCTCTCCCACACTCTCTCTCTCTACATATATATAGAGAGAGAGATCCGCAATCTCACTTTTCTCATGTTCAATCAGCATCAAGACGATGACTTTGCTCACTAAGAGTTGAGAGTTTAGATTATAGAGTTAGACTTTTGCCATCAGCATCAGTGGCAGATTCTTCTGGCCGCATCACGAAGGATGCAGTAGGTTTGCTTGAGCAACAGTTTGCGCCGACAAACGGCTAGTGGTTGGTTAATCTCTCTGATTGACCTTACGTTGATCATGCAAGGAAACCTCTCTTTCACAGCGGTAGGGCCTTCTTCATTTTTGCCGGAACGATATGTACATACATTGGTTCTATGCCAAGTGACACGTTTGTGTATTGCCTTGCCTGGTTTGACAGGTCAAGACACTTCAATCACGCACCACCGGTCAACACACGTCAACAACAACTTCTTCCAACTCTGCAAGGGATCAGGGACTTCCTCGCCAAGGCTTTAAGCACATGTTGTGCCTATAACACCTTGAAGTAGCGGAGGAACATGTGCAGGGCGTAGGACACGAAAAGCGAAGCCTTGGGTAGCCAAATTCTCAAAGGCAACCATTTATTAGGTTCTGCTTAGGGAAATGTCGAGATCAGATCACAGGCAAGATCCTATGTTCAAACAAGCTGCAAGGGCATACACGAAGCCGAATTTAATGAGACTATTGCTGGCCAGGCCTGACTGAAATCTGCTCAGGAAGACTTCGGAAGTGATGCCTTCACAAAAACACCTTCGAAGAAAGTGCCTTTAAGCTTCTCTTCCACTGCCACAGGGTCAAGAGACCACCTTGGGCACCAGGAAGTGGCCAGAAGAAACGGGAAAAAAGAAACAACCAACCCCAAAACCAACGAGCGATGAAACACACAAAGCGATCTTGCTGCAGGGCAGGTCACATAAAGAAAAGTGGATTCTTCGCAGGAATTCCAGTTGTGGCTGTCCACTCCTTCCATGTCAATGTTAGCAATACACGGCGAGGTTCGAAGCCGTTTGGAGTGGTGATGAGGCAGCATGCTCTAGTCTGGCAGCGTCCTGCACTGCAAGTTGGTACATAGCCTTTGCATCAAGAGATTCCCAAGACTCCAAAACAGGCAATTCTTGATGTTCTCAACTTTCAGGAGCTGCAAGTGGCAAAATCAACTAGGGCATCAGGCTGTATGCGTCTCATCAAGCACTCGGAGGCCAGATCGAGCAAAGGGGTTGGCCCCGTCGTAACACGTGAATCTTGGCACAAAATGAAGTCAAACTCTCTGTCAAAAATTGCGCAAGGCGACAGGTGCCGCCAAATCACCAACAAAGCACGAAAGGGTGGTCTTGGTTTTCACTACCCTTTCAATCTTGGTAGCACGAATCGCTTCCCAAAAGGCCTTCCGGCTAGCAATGTCCGAAAAAAATGATCCTGGCTAAGTCGCGGAGTTCCAGTGGTTCCGCAGCAGTCTGTACCGACTGCCCAGAAGTCCAAGGTACCTCAGATCAGCCCACATCTTCCGACAGTGAAAACTCAAGAAATGAGTTGATGGGAATGGAGACATCCAAAGGCTATCAGCTAATCACAAAGGCAGGAGCTGGCCCAGGCTGCACCAGTAATTGCAAGGCTTTAGCATGTGTCCCGTAGGTACTATATATTGGCGCCACAATGCTGCCCACGCTGCTTATGCGTCAACTACAATGGGAGAAGTTTGCCGGCCGTGCAAGTGTACTTTCCCGTTTTGTAGGCAAGTTGTGGGCGGAATTCCTCAAAGGAGAAGCCACGCCGACAGCACTAAGTCACTAAGGTGAGGGCACACTTTACAAGAGGAGGAGGGCTAGCGGCTAGCAGTGACCAGCCCGGCCGTATTCTGCATCAGTGGCCAAATGTTAGCAGGATAAACATGATTATGAGCCCAAGGGTGTCAAGAAAGGCGTTCAAGCAAGTTGGGTGAGAGTACATGACTATGGCATCTGCATCCAGTTATACAAATATAATATGCAGCTCCGCGCAAGGTACTGGAAAGTTGTTGGCAGCTTGGAATTTGGCAGCTCTGTGGCACTGTGAGTGTCGAACTTTTGGACTGCAATGCACCTGCCTATACAAATCCTCATGCTGCTTTCCACTCTGTCGCCAAATGACTTGAAACTAAGAGATAGTTCAGAAACTAGTCTAAAATTGTCATCAACAAGTGCTCTTGGATTTCTTGATTTACCTCCTACAAGGCTAGTATTACTCTCGTATCGGCATAGACACCACATAGACTTACGTATTTGATAAGAAAACTTGCGAGGCGCACTTGCGCGGTCACTCGGTGTCTCTGGACCCGCCAAATCCCGAATGCAGAATAGGCAGGGCTACGACGTACTAAGGCAATGGAATCAGGGGATGGCTGCAGAATTCGAGGGAAAAAATCGCGATCCTAGCTCGATTCCAGGTAGGGCCTAGTTCCAGGGTTGCTTGGACTGGACCCGGATCCCAAAAGTTGCGAGCACGGCCTGATTCCAGACTTCCGGCGTTGCCGTTCCAGGCAAAAGTTGCATAGTGCTAGGTGCGGGTTTCCCATCCAAGAACTGTTTGGCACCATTTGGGTTCGACCCATCCCGCCACCACCATCCCACGAGTTCACGAAGCACTGATCATTGACTGTAGCTGAGCTCTACGTTTGTCTTCGTATTCTTGTGACAAGTCACCACTGCTTGGGATTAGAAAGCCTGGAGAACATGAGCCCAAGAATTGACACCCAAGCGCGAATGCGACACCAAAGCCACAATCTCCCGCCTGATGAGGTTCTTCTAGAGTTTGTTGCATTGCTGCCTGCTTCCAGCGGCTCAAGGTAAATGGGTGCAATGCCTGGATCAAGGATCAAAAAAATAACTATTTGAAAGGCAAATGAAATGATGAACAAAAACAAGCTACTGCACAGTGCAAATCATGCCGCCAAGGTGCAATAGGTCAGGCCATTTCGAAAGGCGATGGCCTTGGTTCTGTCCACCTTTGAGCTGTCCTGACATGTTAAGCCGAGTTCCTTTCGAATGTGCAAAGTGCCCTCCTGTGTACTGCCTTGAAGTAAATGGCAGCAGCATCCATGAAAGAACCACCTTTGTCCCGGGAAGGATGAACATTCACCTCGGCCATTCAGCGCGAGGTTAGCTTAATTACGAATCCCCGGCCCGGCAAACAAAGTCTCTTCATCTCAGCACGGCGCGTAGCTGGCCATTTGCTGATACTCTTGATACTTTGCCACACCCATCCACCAGTAGTTATTGCCTAGTACCTCATTTCACCCATTCCGCGCCCTTCTGAATGAAAGATTGCATGCATCCACACACAAACATAAGCACAAACACACTGCATATCACGTCCAACTATCCGCGGGCCAAGATCTAGGATGCTTTTGCCGAAGCAGGGGCATGCTGCTGAGTCACAAGGCCCACCAGAATACCGGCCTAAGCGCAAGTCAGTTCAATGTCATAGGCATCAGGGGCCGAAAGTTGTGCTGCCATGGGACCCACAAGCATAAAGCGATCACCAACCAAGCTCTGCAGGTCCTCTGCAGCCTGTATCTGGCCTTGACAGTCGGCAGCACATCTCTTCAGAACACCTTTACCTTGCGCAATTGCTGAGAAAAGCGCCACGCCGATGTAGTTTGCCAGGAATGCCATAATGGCCTGACGGAAGCAGTTTGATGATACTTAGTTAGACTAACATAGGCATCCTTGTCAGTGAGAGCCGGGGCTTCAGTTGACAACCCACAGCTCCTGACACAACAAATTGACTTGGGCGCACACAAGCACCCCCACAATCAACCTGGAGCCAAATGGCCAGTAAGCTCTAGCTAGCTCAATTGTTGTTCCAAGCCAAGGTTGCAGGAGACTGGATCATCAAAGCACATGATTCACATGATGCTTAATTGCAAACATTCGTGACACTCTCCTTTGCAAGCAAGTGGCATGGCTACTGAAGGTGAAGATGCTCTGATCAAACAACTGCTTGACCAAAATGCTAGCACAAATGCCTGGAAGGGGCGCCAACTTGCTCCAAAACCCAAGCATGTCCAAGGAACTGCCACCAAAGTCTTACAAGGATGTTGACACTGATGCGCTCGCAAAAAGCTCTGGACGATCTGACGATTCTCTTGGAAGATCAGCACCCGGCTTGCAGGCAGAAAGCAGCTGCCAAATGTCAACAGCAAAACTCCCAAGAACCGCACCAGAGTAGAAAGTGCTGCACCACCAATTATCTCGAAAGGTCCCAAGGCCTGAAAAATCCACTGGCGACAGGTCGGACCAGGACAGGTCCAAAGCTGAAAATCTGCAAGTTTAGACGGTTTCAGAGGTGTGGTTTGGCATCGGTCGCCCGCAAAAAATGAACGAACAATCGCATGAACAATTTATCTTTCCAAGGCAATATAGCGATATGGCCAAGTCTATCCTTGTATTGGGGTTTAAGGTCAGGCATTGGAGGTAAGCTTCAGCGCTACAAGTACATGGTACTTTCCATTTTTGCGTGCAGGAGTACTGTTTCAGGGTGGCGTGATCTCGTATTGGAGGGATTCACAAGCGCAGCAGCCGCGCAGAAATCTTAATTTTGGGTAACTGTTGGGTTCGGATGGCACGACTGCCATCGTCTACGCGTGCGGCTTCGTACTACTTTCGATCTGGCAGGAAAGGCATTATGTGGTCCACTCTACGCAAGCTCAAATCACTAAAAAGCGGACTTTCATGTTTCCATGGCATTTTCCCTGCGAAATGCACCAAGCCCCAAGTGAACTTCTCACTTTCTCGAAGCTTCAGTGGCGTCAAGTACTATTTCTCTGTGCCCAGCCTGCTTCAATTGCTTCCTCAGGAGGAAGTTGGTTTCCGCCCTGAGCTTCATGATTCTATGGAGATTCCTCGGCTGACTGCTCGGCATTCTGCATGCTGAATGCTATACAATGCGCTCGACCCAATCTGTCGAGATTCGTTCCCTGGCGAAAAGTAACGAAGCGCTACATGTGGGCCAAAATGGCTATGCCAAAAGGCTGGGGTCAGCAAAAGCAAAGAGGCTGTGCAAAGTGGTGTCGAACAGCGCAGTTGAGAACAACTTTGCTCTTTGCGTCTCTTTTGCGCTCATGGGAGCAAAAGGGGTCATCGAAATTGCATCCTGGTCTATCAATTGGCAAAAACTTTGCGGGCTTTGCATCCTCATGGCAGCTTGTACTGTGTATAGATGGTGGTTCAAAGTGCTCATTGAGCTCGTCCTTGCAAAGCATTCAGCCGCCCTGCGTTCAGGCCGGCAACTAGAAATCAAAGACGTTCAAGGCCAATCTGGATTCCTAGGGCAACAATTTCGCACACCGCGCTCATCCAATGGGTATGCTCACCACCCAGAAACATGGAGAGCCGCGGCACTGTGAGGAGTTCTCAACAACGCGATCAACAATATTCAAGCTCACGGTGTTAAGAACATCCAGGGATACTCCTCTGATTGGCTGTGTCAGGCTTGCAATCGCAATTCATTCTAGTACCTGAAGGAAAATGCACCGGTTACCGGTGTATGCTATGGAAAGTTGCGGCAGGCCTGCAATTGCAGAGATCATTCTTGTCTACAGTAAACTACACACACGTTCCAAACAGAACGACGCGTCAATGCTGAAGGCCTTCCACGCAGAACTAGCATTGCACAGCATGACATCTGACTTGGCACAACAACAAAGACGCCATCGTGCGGAACCTCATGAATTGTGAAACAAAACATGTATATATTTTAACAGCCCATGCGATTCCTGCTGCGCAAACACGAAGGCATTAGTCACAAGCCCTCCTTTTTGCATACTGGCCACTGCCTATCTTCTTTGACTCGCAACTTCACCAGACTGAAACAAGAATAATGCTCTTCCAAAACGTTCTGGCCCGTTTGGCAACAACGTCGCAAAGTTACCACACATTTGTGTTGATCGAAGCTATTTCAGGTTCTGACATGTGGCCACTTGCAACTGGCAAAAAAAGCCGAAGCTTGTTGCAGTCGCTTGGCGGGGGGTGAGACATCGGCTTGATCAAATTAGACCTCTAAGGTCAGCAGTGCGGAAGCCGCTTGGTTGGACCAGATTGTAGATTGCAATGAGCATGATGTTCATTGCATGTTAAGCTGTATCTTCTAAGTTCCCACCTCTGCACTGCGACCCAAGCTTAAACACGGTCTGCAGCCTTTCCCAAGTTGAGCTCAGCGAATTGAACGCGGCTCAACAACCTTGATCTGTTTTTTCTCCTCCCTACAGGGAGTCTTGCGACCTCAAAGCCTGAAGCCAAGCTCATCGTATTGATGAATCATCTCGGCTCATGCATGCTTTCCAAAATGATCCTCAAGCGATGGTTGAGGTGCTGAGGGCGGCTTCAGTGATGCTGTTGTCACTTGCCGCTGGGCCGCATCCTGACACGAGTGTGCGTCCCATGGGCCCTCCCTGGCAGTCGTTTCTACATTGCATCAAGGTCGCTCTGTAGACTTTCTCGATCTTTTTGGTCTGGGCGCTGACCTTCTGTCTGACAATTGAAATTGTTCTCCGCTCTGCTATTGGCCCTTTCATAAACACAAGGCGACCTGAGACATATGTTCAATGTATGTTCAGTGTGCTGGGGCAGGCACAAAGCGTCTGAGGTCGACAATGTCCTTGACCTTGCCCACACAACTGGTTCAGTTGCGCCCCTGAACCTACAATGGAGCGGACTGTACACATCAATCTACTATCATCCAAGTATACTGAGGCATTTCAGGAGCTGGCAGTCGCGGCATTGTCCCCTCTCAAGTCCAGAACAATATCCATAAATTCAGGGAATGTCAAATCCTGGTGCAGCTGCAAGGAACTACAGTATATGTTGGATAAGGAAAGTCACTGATGTGGCGAAGAGACGCAGAAATCAAAGTAAGATTAAACAATGTCAAATAGGTCAAATGCGTGCCGTCAATCGAAATCACACCCTTCGAAAACATTACACTCCTGCATACTCCTGCTTTTCTGCAGTAGTGGGTAACAAGTGAATAGAACTCATGGTTTTACCTGCACAGCGCTTTATTTCCTACAAGGCAATGACCTTCCCGGGTCTCCTCATTCTGTTCGAAAATAAAGTCCATCAAGTCGACCAAAGCGAGCAACTTAGATCACTGACTCTTGCTTTGCACATCAAATCTTCTTCCAAAGGACGACCGACTTGTTGTGTCCGTGGTTGTTGTGTTCGCAATCAGCTTGTGTGTTTTTTGAATATTGGTTGTGCCTGCACATTGAGTAAAACATGAGTCATGAACACAAACATCTGTAAGTCAGGCCACGTCAACACCAACATCTGCAAGCGTGCGCACAGCTTTGGGGTTCTTGAGCAGCATTTCCAGCTCTTCCCGATCTTAGTGCATGGGAGCAGTTGCAAATCTACTTCGGAGTTCAAAGTTCTATTCTAGAAAGCACAAACTCAAAACGACGAATGCGTTCCTCACAGTTGATCCCAAGTTGCTCAATTTCTTGTCACCATCTGAATCCTTGGTGCGGTTTGAAAGAAGCATAAGAAAGCCACTGGGAGTGTCTCTAGCCGCTAGCCAAAGGTACAAGCAACTGAACGCATTGGCTGCCTAGAGTCTGCTTCAGTCTCCTCCAGAATTCGTTGCAAAGAGAACTTCACAGCTGTTAGCCTCAGGGACGTGATGTGGCATCAACAAAGCGTTGGCATTTACGAAGCTCACTCCAACCTAATAGCGATGGCCTCCAACCTAACAGCGATGGAGGAACCTACTAGCGATGGCCTCCAACCGCAACCTAATAGCGATGGCCTCCAACCTACTAGCGATGGCCTCCAACCGAATAGCAATGGCCTCCAACCTAATAGCGATGGCCTCCAACCTGATAGCGATGGCCTCCAACGTCAACAACGGTGGCATTGACGAAGCTCACTACATCTTCATCGCTACCACTATTATTTGTCCAAGAATCTTAATCTCCTCGCTCTCCACCTCAGGAATGATTTATAAATGAATTTCATCTTGATGATGGTGCAGCCTCTACCACGTCTGTCTCACTTCTGCTTCATTCGGCTTTCACTTGGCAGTGCATCCACTAAGCGGAATACGTGAGAGACGACACTAATCACCTCGCACAAGATTCCGATCAGCATGTTCATCACCTGAATTGCAACAATTCCTACCGCAGCCTCTTCACCAAAGAAATTACATATTTGATGCACTCAGCAATGAGACAAGCAGCGGTCAGAGAGGCCAGTAGCAGGAACGTCCTCAGACCATGGGACAAGGACAAGCATCAGCAAACAAATATACGCAGCTGGCTGGCTCTGTCATTTCAAGAAGCAATGCCATCTCTATTCAATTCTTGTCTTTTCAATCTTAGGTTCAACTTGGTTGCTCCAAGTGGCAGAATAAGTATATAAAAAACTGGGCCCTCGTCCATGAGATTGTTGACCAAGTCTGCCCAGGGTTGTGCCAGTGGTCAGCTGCTCTCTCTGTCTCTCTGTCTCTGTCTGGTAGTCGTATAGTAGTAGTAGTAGTAGCAGCAGTAGCAGCAGCAGCAGCAGTAATAGTAGTAGTTGTTGTTGTTGTCGTAGCCGTATAGTAGTAGTAGTAGTAGTATGTAGTAGTAGCAGCAGCAGTAGCAGCAGCAGCAGTAGTAGTAGTCGTCGTCGTCGTAGTCGCAGTAGTAGTCGTAGTCGTCGTCGTCGTAGTAGTAGCAGTAGCAGTAGCAGTGGTAGTGGTAGTGGTAGTGGTACTGGCAGTGGTAGTGGTACTGGTAGTGGCAGTCGTAGTAGTAGTAGTAGTAGCAGCAGCAGCAGTAGGAGGAGTAGTAGTGGTGGTGGTGGCGGTCCTTTCAAGATTCTAAGTTCAACCCGCATGAGCGCATCCAGACTTTTGAACTTTATACATACATATATAGGCGCCTGCTTGGTCAGGTGTCGCCCCCGACAGGAGCAGAGTATTCATTGAAGCCTTGAAGGGCCAAGCAAAGAAAATGAAAATCTAATCTGACACACAGGTCCAAGGCAAAAGGCTCAAAGCATCCAAGTAACACCAACAGTGGCAAAGTCGTTCCTTGCGGTTAAGCTGGCATTCGCGCTTTTGGTATCAAGCGTTTGCGTGAAAACCTGGGCACGAGGCAAAAGTCAATGCAAAATGCTGTGCAAAATCGGTTCCAACTGGGCAACCAGCCCACGTTGCGCAATAAGATGCGTCATCTATATAATAAGGGAAAGTGGCAATGGCAAAAACGTAGACCAGGCCCAACAGAAGGAGCAGGGCAAACATCACTGACCGAAGTGCAGCTCCAATGGCTTTGAGCATCACCTGGGACGAGCCCGAATGAACTTCAAGAAATTCACAAGTGAAACTTGATAGTGTGGTAGAGGCAAATCATGCAATGTAGCCAACCTTTCTCCACTTGTACAATGGTAGTCAACTGTCCACCATTGGCATCCAAAAAGTCCCCCTTCCTGCCAAGGATCAAAAAGCTCGGGGCAAGCCCGAAGAAGCCTTGCCATCCGTGCCATTCGCGTCAAACGGAAGAGGCGCAGCACTCTCAGAAAGCCCGGAGCGCTTGTCGCCCCAGAGCCCATCGATGCCTACAAAACCACAGATGTCCCACTGCGGAGGGGTGCAACGGCAATTTGTGTTTCTATCTGCCTCTTCTGAACTGTGTTTCCTTCAAGGCCAGTATGTAGGAATAGGGGAGCTAGCCCAGACCGAACAAGATTTTTCAAGGAATTGTCCCCCATTGTTTTGTCCAAGGCCTTTTCCGCTTTAGGGAAAATTTAGGGTTTCGATTCTTCACGAAGTTTAGGATGCGAGATGATGTGGGAAATTTATATTAAGGCATTGTGCTTGGACTACCCTTATAGGAAAGTTGGCAGGGAACCAGTTAAAAATGCAAACTGCCAATTGATGTTGAGTGTTGAGAGCAGTTCTGGCAGAAAATCAATACTTAAAACAGTGTTTCCTTTGAGACGACCAACACAACTCAAAGTAAATAGTCCAAGTGAATTTAATGTGAATTTAACAAGGAATCAAACCTGTCAAAAAGCGCAGCTTCAAGGGTTTAACAGGGAGCCCCTTAGAAAACAATTGAAAACAATACGTGACGTGCCTTGATGAAGCTTAATCCCAATACGAAACCAACCATCTCAGCAGATCCCCGGGATAGAGGAGCCATCAACCGCACATTCAAAGTGACAAACCACAAATATGTATCTTATACTAGGTTATTCTACGAATGTAGTTCGAAAGGAATCTTGTAGGAAAGCAATTCAAAACGCAATAGTTTATTCAATTGATGTTCGACAATGATTTTACGGGAAATATCAATTCAAAACAAATACAAGGATTCACATTCATCAGCATTATTCCATTGGCACCACGAAGTGTGCAGCTCTTAGATGATGCGAATTGGAAAATCAGTCTAGTCTATAAGTCTATAACTGTTGAATCCTGTTGAACAGGTGTTTGCCTAGGATTGTCGAGAGTTCTGTAGAATATTGAATCAGGTTCAATCCATGCTTCCGTGCGACTCAAATCACGAGATTTGAGGAGGAGGATGGGAGGATGATTGCACAAATCGACTGATCTATCGATTTTCTTTGCGATGTAGAAATCTATATGCTACCCTCATCAAGAGGTCCATTGCTTCTTTTAACCTCTTTTATATAACCAATCTAATTACTCTCCTTCTCCCCTCTTCTCTCTAATTCCCTGAAGCTCAAGCCCCAACGGCTGCTGCCAAGCCACGACTGCTACGGTTAAGATCCAAGTCTCAAACACCTGGAATCGAACGGAATCTTGCAACGTTTGTGCAGATTTGTATGTTGTTCATCTGCGTGACCAAATCAGCTCAGGCACCATCAAACCCACTAGGACAGAGTCGAAGACAAACCAGGCGTCTTTGGCGCAGTTCTTCTTTTGCTTGAAGGCTCCAAATCTAAACCCCAACTCCACACAAAAGTAGACGCAGAACAGGTTCTCCATGATAACAAAAACAGGCTCTGCATCAAGGAGGGTTTCTGAGGAATTCAAATCCTTGGCAAAGCCAGTGGAGCAAAAGTTATATAGTATAAAATAAGCATGCATGCCAGATTTCAATTGTGCTCATTTGGGCAAAGGCTCTGTGTCGATCCAAATCCAAATAGAATTGACAGCTATCATCAGAAGGGTCAAGTTTTCGAAGCAGCTAGATCGTGCAATCCTGCCGCAGGATCCGTAAAACAATCTGCACGTGTGATGCACGGAATTGCCATGTGTTGAGTATTCGTCACAGGGATCAAGTCACATTGTCCTCTGGCAGCAGCCTGTCTCCCAGTAGTACATGGACACATCGTAGACCTCTTTGCCTTAGACAACGTCTATGGTCCCTTTTTTGAAATCAATGCGCCCTCTTTGGTGAATCACCCAGAATTACTGGTCTTCAGTGGTGCCTTTACACCAAATCTGGCCCTCCATCTTGTTCGAGCGAGGAGCTGAGATTCTGCTTCAGCTGCTTTTTGAGCGTATCAGCATCAACAAAGACTGCCGCCTTGGCAAAATGTGCGAAGCAAGGAAACTGTCCAAGCTCCGCAACATCCGCAAGTTTGCTTTCATTGGTTTTTGTTTGCCATGTGCTTTCTTTTTGTGGTGGTTGAACGGACAAAACAAGTGCCTCTCGAGCTGGAGGATTCTGCGCGGCAGTTGTAGTAAAGGAGGGTTCAGCATTCTTGGACCCCCTTGATGATCTAGATGGAGAGGGCGATGGGATCGGGACCTCGGTTCGAGAGCTTCTCTCGAATGGCAGGCCAATATCAGACTATCTGGCGTGAAGCCCAATTGGAAGACTGAGTTCAGCACGATGGCGGCGGGCACAATGGCTGCCATTCCAAGCGAATTGCTCCCCTGAAGTTCAACCGGAAGTCGCAAGGAGCAGGAAAGCCACACGAAAGAAGTTGTTGTGGAAAACCGCCACAATCACGTGGCGCAACTTCTTCCAAGATTCTGTGCCATTCTGTGCCTGTGCTCCATCCATCTCTGCCCAAGCCTTGTCATGTTGCACAATGCACTATGTACAGCTCAAAGACCGGCTGCACTGATGACAGTGCCTGGGCAGGTTCACTAGCGGAGCCTGCAGCCAGGCGAGTGCAGGAGTGCATGAGCCATCATGAGCTAATCGCAAGTTTTGACAACTCCTTCGCAGTCGAAATCTCCGCATCAGCCTGCTGCTCTGTCTGGCCCATCTCTATCTACATCAATAATTCCTGGTAGGTGTTTGCCTGGCGCGAAGCAACATGCAAGTAGCTAACCCAGGAATGATGAACAATGTTCAGTTGCAAACACACAGGGTCCGTTGTTTAGGTGTTGTTTCATCATCTCACTTCATGTTATGGTCCTTCCATATCTGCCAGGCGGGATTTCAGCTGATTGTTCTCTCGTTGAAGGTTGCGAGTTTCCTTAGCAAAAATGAGCAAAAATGCATGCTTTATTCAAAGTGTATGTTTCGACAAATGGATACCGTTCCTTACACAAACCAATGTTTAGAGAATGTAATCCCGAGTACCAATTAAAAAACGGACCCCTATTAGAAAAAGTCATGTCAGAAACCCCTAAATACGGTTTATATTTGTTTTTAAATTACCGCCCTTTCAAGCCGCTACTAAACTACCAACATTGCCGACTTTGGAGGAGTTTTGTTTATTAGGTTCCAAAAACAACCGTAACTGCCAACCTCTGTCCGCCCTGTCTATCCACCATGACACGCCGCGCTTACACCAGCAGGCTTTCCTTCCCCCAATGGCACGGACTCACGCAAACGCACTTGCCACCGAGGTCATGCAACACCGCATGGCACAGCGACATCACCTTTCGAAAGCTTTAGCTGTTAGTCTACTGAAGAATCACTATTCTAATGAAGGTTTTTGTAGGGGAAAAGGAAGACCCTTCGATCTGGAGCTTTTTTGCATTTTTGATATGAGTTTAATAACGGATTTTATATAAAATTTTACGGATTTACTTTTTGGTTTTGAAGCTCTTCCCAGGTGACCCTATTTTGGACCCCCCCCGATTTCAGGGACCCCCTATTAGAAAAAATGCGACCGAGGTTTCCTTATTTGGGGGGAGGGGGGGGGGGCCCCCGTGTTTTTTAATAGGTGGACCGGATTACTTGCATGCAAAACAGGAAAGAAACTGCAAAAAAACGGCGATACCAAATTAGTGCAGCAGGAAAACACACGTTTCACTGCATCGGTTAAATGTTTTTTTGTTTGTATCACACTCGTGGGCAATTGCCCATTCTACCCAAACTCCGAAATTGACACCATCCGTGCGAAGCCCTGCTCCACTGCTCCACGGTTAAATTGCGACGATCCGTCAACTGTGTTCACTTCTTGAGCTCTCTCAAGAAGCAGCTTTGCCCTTCCTTTCCCCCACCCCAGAATCCAAAACAAGCACTCGTGGCCACACAAGAATGAACGTACAGGTTTCCCCGTGTTTGCTTCTCCCATGCACTGGTTGCAAATCAGATCAATCCCAAAGCCGCTCCCTCCAAGCATCTTTCTCAAAGTCCTTTAGGCCTTCAGCTTGCTTGGACAAGAGGGTCCTTAAAAAGCGCTGGCTCAGGCTGAGAGGAGATTGTCCATGCTCAATTGACTACAAAAACGCTCCAACACGCTTGAAAACAAGGGTCGTCATCGTTTCACAGGTGGCGCCGACAACTTTTTGCAAGCTGTCAACCTGCGAAGAGCCAAAAATGCAAAAAGCATAAGGCAGCTCTCTACAAATGTCCCAGCCTGATGCAAAAGTTGCGATATGCCACCTAAAGCTTTCTTGTGGTCGGCCAACTGCAGAGCTCCCTGCATGTAATGATGGTGGAACAAAAGTGAAAACCTTAGCAATTGTCTTTCATGGTCTTTCTATCATGCGTTTAGAACAGTGAGCCAACATAGCCCTCTTGCCTTATCCATTCGGATCTCCTCCTGTCAAGAGGTCAAGCAACAGTGTTATGGCCACCTCCGGGCCCAACGACACCATTGTTCTCTCCCCATGCCGCCACGACACGATCAGACTTTCAATGTCCGAGGAAGGGCCGCCACTTATGGCTGACATCAGCACGAATCCAACGGCAACCTGAAGACAACAATCTGAAACCTGGATTCCACAACAAAGAACTTGTTGTTTGGCAACGTTCCGACTTGATGCGTGACTTGTGGAAGAAGGGATTGTAGACTCTTGGTTCGTGAATGTGGCTCTCGCAATGCCAGCTAAGGTCGCAGCTTTCGCCGCACCCAGACCAATGCTTTCACTTGGGCAAGTTTATGGCTTCGAACAAAAAATGACAAACTGTGATGTCTGGATGCCTCACAGACTTGGCTCTCAATGTCAAATACACCAAAAGTAGGGGACTGAAAGACTGCTACCAGTTCTGCTGTTAGTCTAACTTGGCCTGAGGCACTTCCGATCGCTTCCGGGTGCATTTCCAGCCTAGCTTGCCAGGTCATTTGGCTGCCACTTTTCGACTGCCTATGTACAAAGTGTGCAACTTGCAAAGGCCTTCTTCGCACACTATCGCAACAAATGGTGAAAAATTCAATAGAAACAGGTCTCTTTCGAGATGTGTCTCTGTGCATTTGCATACGCTTCAGATTTTCCACAAGCCCAGAGGTAGTTTCCCAACATCGTGGGTGAAATTGGATATCCTTTCAGCTTGGCTAACCTCAGACTTGTCGCTCGAGAGGGGATCACAGGTGCAGAAATCACATGGGGGGTGGATTGAAATAGGGAACCCCACGGTGGGAGCCTGGTTAATCGTGGGATGATGTCCACCTTGCTTTCTTTGTGTTCTCCACTCCGCCATTATCAGAATCTCAACCGGTTGTCTGGATGTGTAATCACTACCTTTCACTCGTCTAAAGAGCAGTCTAACGCCACCTCTTTATGCGAAAGTGCCTGATGTTTCTCCCACAGGTTTCATGCATGTTTGTCATCCACATCTGCCTTTTTACATCTCAATCTTCGATAGAGAAAGACAGCAAAAGTGAAATGACCTGACAAATGTCCTGTATGTTGGAAGTCCCACCTGCACCCCACAAAAGTTGCATACCCTTGCTCCCTGAGGCCATGAAGCCAGGCCATATCTTCAAGTGCTGCGACACCAGCCGCACGCAAAGAAACTTCTGCAGCACCGCCAGTTGACAAATCAGTGTCAGCCTGCAAAGCTTTGGTCAAATCCTCAGCAGCTACGTGCCCACTAAGAGATCAACAAGTGACACCGTCTTACAAAGTGCAAGTTGTAACTTTTGGCAGAATACAAAGCTGTAGTGCAGCCTCTCAATAGTTTCTCCCTGACTGCTTTTGAGTATTCTTGCTGTCGAGTTTGATATGTACAGTGTATTATATGTAATAAACAGTATATATAATTATATAACGTCTCACGCCCTTCTTTCTCCATGGTCGAGGGAGTATGCACAGG